AACTTATCAAACTCAACACCCAAATAACAAATAATCCAATCAAGAAATGGGAAGAAGACATGAATAGACATTTCTTTAAAGAATACATACAAATGGCCAACAAACACATGAAAAAATGCTCAACATCACTTGTGGGGAAATACAAATCAAACCAAAATGAGATACCACCTCACACCAGTCAAAATAGCTAAAATTTACAAGTCAGGAAATGACAGATGTTGGTGAGGATGCAGAGAAACGGGAACCCTCATGCACTGTTGGTGGGAATGCAAGCTGGTGCAGACACTCTGGAAAACAGTATGGTGGTTCCTCAAAAAGTTGAAAATAGAGCTACCCTATGACCCAGCAATTGCACTACTGGGTATTTACCCCAAAGATACAAATGTAGTGATTTGAAGGGGCACCTGCACCCCAATGTTTATAGCAGTAATGTCCACAATAGCCAAACTATGGAAAGAGCCAGAAGTCCATTGACAGATGAATGGATAAAGACATGATACACACACACACACACACACACACACACAATGGAATACTAATCAGCCATCAAAAAAAAAAATGAAATCTTGCCATTTGCAATGACATGGATGGAATTAGAGGGTGTTATGCTAATCGGCATAAGCCAGTCAGAGAAAGACAATCATCATATGATCTTGTTGATGTGTGGAATTTAAGAAACAAACAGAAGATCATAGGGGAAGAGAGGAAAAAAAATAAAATAAGACAAAATCAGAGAGGGAGACAAACCATGAGAGACTTTTAAGCACAGGAAACAAACTGAGGGTTGCTGGAGGGGAGGGGGTTAGGGGGATGGGATAACTGGGTGATGGAAAACAAGGAGGGCACATGATGTAATGAACACTGGGTGTTATATAAGACTGATGAATCACTGACCTCTACCTCTGAAACTAATAACACACTATGTGTTAATTGAATTTAAATAAAAATTTAAAAAGTGCTTATTAGATAATCTTGTTTTCTGATTAAAATACAGATAGTCTCAGATTTTAATGGTTTTCAATTCAGTATGTGACTATAAATTCACCTCCAAAAAGTTGGAATTAATTTTTCCATAGAAGCAACACTCAGCAATGGTTGGGTTCCTGCACTAGTCCTCACAGGGCATTGTAATTCATAGACAACTTACTGGGTGCATACTAGAACCAACAGTATTCCGGACTGTGCTTTCTGTACTGCATACTTGTTTCTCTCAGAAAACATACTCCTTAGTTTTAATGGGAAATGCCTCAAGAAATTTCAACTCCAGTAAGCAAGCCAATATCTTCCCCTAAACTTCAATATTGATGCCATTGTTCAGTTATGAATGAGGGGCTTTATTTGTTGTTAAGGAGCCCAGTAGATTCAGAAGCAAAAGACTGAAGAATTCTGGAATCAGTGGCTGGGTAATCCCGGTTACAGGCAGAAGAGCAGGAGCTCTGTTTTGTGGTTGCCAAAATGGTAGTTCTGAGCCAGGGGATGCCAGGAGAAACCTAATATTTCTGCTACAACATAAATATATTTCATAGTATCTAATTATTATTATTTTTTTTTTACAAAGTCATTTAGGTGCACTCAAAGAAAGGTTTAAATAAGTGATCTCTCCCCCTTACTCCCACCCGGAGCATCCTATTAGTTTCACCTCCTAAGTAACTCTCAAATCTATATCTTCCTTTTGACTCTCACTTAATTCATTTGAATTACCAGCATATCATGCTTGGAACTGTTCAATACCTGGGTTTCCTTAATTGGCAACCACAGGAGGTGGTTTTGTGAAAGACTGCTGCTTTGAACTTTACCTACTACATGATGCTAATGCTCAGGGTGATGAACACTGAATGAGAGATCCATTAGTGATTCTGGAGTGGGGGTACCCCAGATTAGTGCAGAGTAAGACTGTCCTCATTTGCTCAAATCTACTCTTGATTTCTGACATGAGGCTGGAAGGCTGCTGATAAATAGAGAACATATTGACGGTATCCCCTTTCTTCCTGAATTATCTCCCCAAACTTCCCTTAACAAGTTGCTGAGTGGCCCATAAAGGTAAATAAAATCCACTTTGCAATAAATTATTAAAACAAAAGTTTCATTGTGAAGAAGAAATTTTTATGCACCGTCACCCAACTGGCCTCATCAAACACTGATGTTGCTGTATATATTGTAAAGGGTGAAGTGTGTCGATTGACAGGTAAATGTTACTGTGAAGTTTTTATATTTTCCCTACCTGCTCATTTGGTTATGTGTGACACCCTGTAGTTTTATATTTTATTACTACTGATTTCATGCACACATATCTGATGGACCAAAGTGGTAATTTCTAAAGATGAGCTGTGAAGTAGAAGAGAAATTTTTTAGGTATATAGACAATTCTGATAAGGTTAGTGATAAAGAATTACAATCTTTTGAATCATTTCACTGCACTAACATCACATGAAACACAAAAGGAATTTTGTCTTTACAATGAAAGCCACTTGTCATGGGTTTTACATGGGGAATCGGAGTTGTCCCATTCACTGTGCATTGCAAGTGGAAAACAACTTACAAACGAAGCACTGGCTTCGGCAAAACTGAAGACACTTAACTGCAAATCACAGTCACTCAGCGCGTGATGGTGCTGATTATTTTAAACAGCTACTGGAATCTTATATAGAGTAAAGCTTTTGCTGAGAAGCAAAAAGTCACATTGGTGAAAAGGCTCAGGAAGCAAGTCATTCAGTAGCAGAATTTATTGACTAGAAAAGACAAAGTCAAACAGTTGGTAAAACCTTAGTAACGAGGCATGAAAAATTGTAGTGAATATTTAGTGAGAATTCCAAGATAAGACGCAATATGAGGCGCTGGAATGGCTCTACTCTCCACAGCACCGTCAGTCAACACATTGATGACGAGTCCCTGATACCGAGAAAATCTTCTATGAAATAGTTTCTCCATCAAGTTAACAGTCAAAAGATCTACTAACAAATAAAAATGGTGGTAAAATTTAAGAAAAATAAACGTTCTGCTATAAATAGGTGCTTTAAAAAGGCAAAGACCAAGATGTACTTAATGATTTGTTTTCCTGTCCAGAAACAAAAGATCTTGGGGAAA